AACAGATTGGTGGTTACCACAAGTAGAGATGTGTGTGTGTGTGAGAGAGAGAGACGGGTTGTCCAAAGGTACTAGTTCTAGTTAATAGCATAAATAAGTTCTGGAGATTTAATGCACAGCATAGTGACTGTAGTTAAAAATATTGTATTTTATATTTAAAAGTTGCTAGGAGAGTAAATCTGAAAGGTTCTCATCTCAAGGAAAAAATTGAACTATGAAGTAACAGGTTAACTGAATTTATTGTGATTATTTCACAATACATATGTATATATATAAAACATATTGTATGCTTTAAACTTATGTAAATTATCTCTCAATAAAACTGGAAAAAATAGATCTGAGTTTTAAAGGCATAGCTAGCAATTTGGATTCTCCCGATTCCAGCCAGAGGCAGGTTTGCCCCTATAAAATGCGCTGTGACTTAGAGCAAATGAAATGCCAAAAAAAAGTAAGTTTCGGTATGGAAGGGAAACCCCTGACTTCTTGTATAAAGAGACAAAAAAGTAAAATGGAAAACTTTCTTTTTCTGAAACATAAAGTCTGACATTGAATAGTACAATCCCTCTTGGAAAAGTTTACTACATATGTCTAATTCATAAAACTGTATGTTTATCATGGTTCAATACCTAACTTGTGAAAGCCAAATTTTGAAAGACGGTACACAAGTGGAAATTCTGATTTTAATACATTTTAAGTGCTTCAGATCCTGTTAACTTTACTAATGCTTACGGCGAGGCAATTCTTTGGGGGTAGATGCTATCCTCATCCCTACTTCATAGCTGGAGAAACTGAGGCAGGGAGAGATGAAATGATTTACGGTCATCTGGCCAGGTTGGAACAGAGACAGAATTTGAAGCAAGGGTCTTTGGTTCCACAGACCATGTGCTCTAGAGAACATATAAAACCATCAGTATAATGCAACCACAAAAGGAGAATAAAGAGAAGTTTTCCATAGCTAGTTTCCATGTGGCCTAAAAAGCAGCGAATATGATATTCTCTGCTGTTGGTGATGATGAAGTCAGTACAATAGTGAACGTGATAGCAAAATGATTACAGTAGGTCCCAGGAAATGGGAAATATTTCAGGCATGACATGAGTTTCTTCGACTTCTCTGCAGGTGACCAATGGTTTAAAATTATTTGAAAGCTCCCCTACCAAAGGTGGGATATAGAGCAAATGATTTTCTTTTGAAAAGTGTATTGGTAAAATATAATTCAAAAGCTCTCATCTGGGGGCACCTGGGTGGCTCAGTGGGTTAAGCCTCTGCCTTCAGCTCAGGTCATGATCTCAGGGTCCTGGGATTGAGCCCCGCATTGGGCTCCCTGCTCAGCAGTGAGCCTGCTTCCCCTTCTCTCTGCCTGCCTCTCTGCCTACTTGTGATCTCTCTCTCTCTGTCAAATAAATAAATAAAATCTTCAAAAAAAAAAAAAGCTCTCATCTGAGCAAATATCTATTCAAAGCTTCCACTGCCTTTTTTATTTAAAATTTCAGTTTGTAGAAGTATCTTCTGTGATTTTATTATCATATTCTTAGGTATTGCTGTTTGTTTTCTAATCAACCTTTTTTGGGAACATGACGTGATTTTGTCATAACTGGATTTGAAGAACCCTTCTTGCGATGTGCGCACATGCGTGTGGGGACACACACACACACACACACCATGCCCTATACAGTCAGCACATCTTTATCACCAAGCTAACTTTCTCCCTTTGGTTCCAGACAAGTGTCTTCTTGTCTCAGATTTATTTTTTTCATTAAAACTATGTACCTCCCTCCCCAGGTCTTGACCTCTTAATTTTTAGGTTTCTTGCTTCTTTCATTTCTTCAGCCCCAGAAACTGACAATATCCTCAGCAGATCCTGAAAGACCTCTACATCTCCCTTTCTTAAGATACTTCTCTCTTATGTTAGCCTAACCCTATTTACTATGGAAATGACAACTGATTCACAAAACTTGATTGTTACAGTTAATCAGGAAAAGCTGACCATCTTCAAAGAGATTATTGTCAAGAGTCTGAGTTTGATTCAATTTCAAGTATGTCTGGCATCCTAGGCAGGAGGTAGGTGAAAGGCAGGAGTGTGGCTGAAAGTTTTCCATCGGTAATGGGCACTCGGGACACTCCAGAACACAACTCTCATCTTTGTTTTTCTTTATCCCTTCCTTTTCCCAAACAAGTGTCGTTCAATTTAGTAGCACTCTATTGTTAGTTGCTCTTTTAAATTTCACATTATTTAAAATGTCAATTTGAAAAAAAAAATGTCAATTTGAGCACAATCAATATTTGGGATCAAGTAGGGAACTGGCTACTCAAACGTCATCTACTAACCATATCTTGGGAAGGAAGCGGAGAATGGTGCACAGAAGCAAGGCGTCATATTCAGTATCATTAACAGCTGCTATGACATGGACATATCCAACCTTGCAGCACAAAGGCTTATGGGTTTAAACCTTTAGTTGCTGTATTGTGGAAGGCTGGTGAGTCCTAGGAAAGCGGCCAGGGTGGGGGCAGTTGACACTAGAGAGCTCAGGGCACAGCCTTTATCAACCAGTTCAGAAGTATTTCAGCAACTGTTACAGGCATGTCAGTGGCTCGCACTGGGTACCAGGCTGTAGTGAAGCTTACTGTACTCTACCTGTCATTGTCTGGACCTGTTTCTCTGCAATAGTATGTGTTCAACATGAAGAAAAAAGGCTATCTTGCATGAAAAAATCATAATACAGATGTTTCTTAGCTTACTCAGTTGCCAACAGTCTCATAATCTTAGCAAGATTATTACACATTTGTGAAAACAGTCTGATTTCCTACATTGCCTGCTGAATTTGAACTCACTGCACCCCACTTCTGACTATACTTGACTGGAGCTGTTGATTGGCAGACAAGTGGGACCCTGCCCCTCCTAAGCTGAGGGACTTGCTCCAGAAACTGTTATCACCCAACAACCCTTGATGACGTTCGGGCAGCCTTTCTGTGCGGTGTGTGCTGCTCCCTTTGTACAAATACTCCTTTAGGCATTCCTATCCCCACATGCACACACGGGACTTCAGGTCTTCCCCAGGACTGTACTCTGCTTCTGTTTCTAATGCAGGGATATCAGATTCCAAGGCAGGCTCCCCAAGGCATTCCAGAAGTCTTCAGGCTAGCACTTCTTAAACTTTTTTAGCGGCATGGGACCCCATTTTGTGGGCTGCCCAAAACCATGAATCCCTTTTCAGAACAAGGTTTTTAAAAGCATAAAATACATGGGATTGCAAATGAAACCAATTATTTTGAAATACAGTTAACAAAATGTTTAAAAAATTGCGTTGTATAATATATATACTTTAAAATTTTTTTATGCTTTTTTTAAAGGAACTTTTTTTTTTTTTAAAGATTTACTTATCTTTCAGAGAGAGAGAGAGAGCGCAATCAAAGCAGGGGGAGAAACAGGCAGAGGGAAAAGCAGGCTTCCCCCAGAGCAGGGAGCCAGATGTGGGACCCCAGCCCAAGGGAGACACTTAACCAACTGAGCCACCCAGGTGTCCCAATATATATACTTTTAAGTTGGCCTATTGCATAACAAGATCTAGTGGAGGGTCTATTTAATAGCTACTGTAATTGATGATATTGTAACAACTATGCTGTGATGTAAAAAACAAAAACAAAACAAAAAAACCCCAGCGAAAAACAAAACCTGTGGGTTCTACTGGAGACTAAGTCCTAGATACATATCCTACTGCCACTGTGGTGTTTCCCCTCCATTTATAATGGAAGGAAATGCTAAATGTCAGAGGTTAGTGAAAATAAAAAAGTAAAATTTTTTTGTCACCCCAATATCACAGTAACTCTGTCTCTGCGGCTGAAGAACCCCGCCAATAAAGTTGCCCCGGAGGTCAACACCGTGCTGGAGGCTCCACCCCAAGCTCTGGAGGCAGGAGACTTTAGGCCACCCACACAGAGCTCAGAGCTGCTTCTTGGCAAGAATCTAGTCCTGGGAATTTGGGGGCAGGAAATAAGAGCTCCTGAGCTCGTAGGTACCACCTTACACACCCATCCTTTCCTGTCGAGAAGCTGCTTCTCCGCTTCAGAGCACCTAGAAAATGAAATTGCTTACACCACGGTGACCTGTCCCAAAAGCTCTCCTTTTCACGGGGCATATCCCTGGGTGCTCAGGGTTAAGGCTGAGCTTCAGTTTTCTAATCTGAGAATTGTTATGCAGCTTGTTATGAGGGCTAAATGGGCTATAAAATGAGCTATATAAATTGTATAGCACTATCCAAGTTTGCGCTATTATTATGGACGGTTAGTTCTTTGAGGGCCGAAAACAATCCACGCAGCTCCCTTCCCCAAGTATCTGGCGAGCGTTAAGCGCTCCAGAAACACTCGTGGACTGAATGAATGAAGTGAGCATTTGCACGTGGGCTCCGGTGGGCGAGAATCCGCGGCATAAGGCGGTCGGGGCCGGTGCATCATAGCACTTCTCCTTGCGTAACAGGTAGTAAACGCCTTTCTGGCTCCGCACGGAACGGCAACCACAATTCCAGGGCTTCTTTCCCCGAGGACCCTCGGGATGGAGCTGCGGGGCCGGGAGCTCGCCTCCCCCCAGCACCCAGGTGTCCCACGCCGGCTTCCGGGCCAGGTAGGCGGCGGCGGGAGAGGCGTGGGGTGGCGCGGGGAGGGGCAGCACCGCGACCCGGAGCAGCCAGGCGGGCCGGGAAGGTGCAGGCAGCCCGGCCGGGCGGCGGGCGCGCGAGGAGGGGCCAGAGGGGTGGGGGGGGGCGGGGCCGGCGTCCTCGTCACTTGATAAAACGCCTGCGAGTCTCCAGAGAACAACGGGCTCATTCAGCGGTCAGGAACTGCCCGCGAGGGGGAGCGGCCGGGCGGCTAGCGCGACTCGTCCCGGGGGTGGGGCCGGCGCGGTGGCCAGAGGAGACGAAGGTGCAGCAGCAGCAGCAGCAGCAGCCCGGCAGCCCCGCAGCCTCGAACCCGGCCCGGAGCACAGGGCTGCAACCGCGGCTCCCGTTCCACCTCCCGGTGCGCCCGTCCATGGCGGCCACGGGGCAGCTGTGGCTGCTCTACCTGTCGGCGGGGCTCCTGCCCCGGCTCGGCGCCGCCTTCAACTTGGACACCCGCGAGGACAATGTGATCCGGAAAACGGGGGACCCCGGGAGCCTCTTCGGCTTCTCGCTGGCCATGCACTGGCAGCTGGAGCCGGAGGACAGGCGGCTGTAAGTTCCCCGACTTCCCACCCCCGCCACGGCGCCGGCCCGCGCGCGAGCAGGGGCGAGGGCGCGCCGCGTTCCCGCCCGCGGGCCCTACCCGTGCGGCTGCCCCGCCCGGGACTCCTCGGGCCCCCGGGGGAGCGCGGCCAGCAGCCGAGCCGGTCGCGGCGCCTCCCCACATTCAGCCCTAGAAACCCGAGGCCCCGGGGGCCGAGCCCCGCGGACTGTGGCCCCGGTGCCAGGCCAGGCTGTTCTTGGCCCCGAGAGAGTTTCTTTTTTTTTTTTTTTTTTCCTCTCTTTTTAAACAAAGTGTTTTCCGGCGGTCCTTCCCTTCGGGCATGTTTGCTGGGAACCCGGCAGGTGGCACGCTTTGCTGAGCTTCACGTGTGTGTTTGGAGCGGGGCGGCGGGTGGGGGGAGCGGTGACCCAGGGTGTAGGGTCGCCGTATCGCCGCTGTGGGCTTGCTGGGAGCGTTGTTCCGGAAGATCCAGGCCTTTCCCAACTTCACGCAACACCCGGCTTCCCCGCAGACTAGGGAGCCCTGCAGAAGTTGGAAAGCCACTTTTCATCCTGTCCTGCGTGGCTTTCCCCGCACGGCGGGCGCTCCTGTGGGAGCTACTCTAACATGCCCCTCCCCTCCTTTTGAAAGATGGAATTGACCAAGCACCTGTTCGCAAGACTAGATCAGCTGAGAAAAACAAGATCGTATGAGTGGTGTGCCCCGTCCCCCGCCCAGGCCCCGAAGCGTCCGGTGGTATCCAAAGACCCTTTGGGCCCCTGCATTGCGCAGGCCCAAGCCGAAGGGTTAAAGCAAAATATCAGATCTGGGCTGGGGCTTTGAAAACACAGTTTAGAAGATCACTACCTCCTCACCCCCCGCCCCGCCCATAGTATAGCGGTGTTCCTCCCGCGAGAAAGTGGAGACTGGCACTGCTCAGCTTTTCTTTTTCTCTTAGTGTTTGGTTCCCACATGATCTAACTCTTTAGGCTGGAGAGGGTTTGGGAGTCTTCATCTAGATCTGTACTACTGAGAAATAAACTCACCGAGGTTCCCTCCTCCCCTAACGCTTTTAGTTGAACCAAGGTCTTTCCAGGACCAACAGACCGGAGAAAGCAAAGTGCAGCCACGGAAAGAGAGGACTTTGTGTTTATGAGGGTGGAATGGGACGTTAGAGCTGGAGGAAACCTCTTGATTTCTGCGATTAACAACTTTGGAGCTGGTGAATCTTAACATCAGATTTTTCTGCTAACACCTGGTGGTGAAGCAAAGATATTTGTTGGGGGTGGGAAGGCTGAGGGCTGGTGGGCTGGCCCGTTGCTTGTACTCCGGCTTCTCTCAAATAATTGCTAAGCTGTAAATCTGAAATGAGAGGTGGTTTCTGTGACCTCAGTTAATGGATGACGTTTGGTGTCTCTGAATCCTTAGGGTGTGTAAATGTGCATCCGCCCACACGGTGCATTTGAACTGCTTAGTGCAGCCCTGGTTGTGGGCTGGCGGAGGGGACACCTTCAGCCTGATATTCTTGTGCACCTGACGCCTACTGACGGTCATGGCTTCCTTGAAATACTTGTTCAAGCCAGCATTGTGAAGGGGGTGTACTGGGCCAAGAAAATATCTTTGGGATGGAGACTTAGAAAATGTGAGGCTAGCCAGGAATCTCTGTCACTGAGCAGCATGCTTGCTGAAACTTGTTACTGCTGCTGCAAGTGCTCCTGTGGGTAAGAATAAGCCTGCCATTGGCGTCTGCTGCCTTCTAGAAAGGCTCTGCTTGGAGGGAGTGGCTGATCAGATCCTGGAGTGTATCTTTCCCTTGAGCTTGGAGTGTGGCAGTAACCACACTGCTGGGGGGTATGGTTTATGTTAAATCCTGTCCCCTCCTTCCCTTCTTTTGGTAAAGTGTTCCAGCTTTCAGCAGCAGCTTTGGGCCTCCAAGGAGAACCAGCACACGCAGGCTATAATCACATCAGTTGTCACCTTTGTAACTGATGTGGGTGCAAATAACAGCCAGTGAGGTTGAGACCCACACAACTTCTGGTCCAGCGTCCTAAACTCTTGCATTCTGTGGAAAAGTTCAGTGGGGAACTGATGGGGGCGGGGGAGAGAGAGAGACATGACTTAAGCTCAAATTCCTTCTGGGCTGTGGAGCAGCTGTTAATTTATTTTAAGCCTTAGTTTCTTTATCCGTAAAATGGAGGTATTTAATAAGGTTGTTGTGAGGAGTAAGAGACCACACGTACAATGCTTAATTCCTGCCTGGTGTGGGGACTTGCTGACTAAGCACTGGGGGTTAGTGGTGATGCATTGAGAAGCACTAATTGAATTCCTACTGTGTGCCAGCTACTGGACAGGTGCTAACCATTCACATTCTGACTGCCAAAGAGCAAAGCCAAAGTTTATTGTAGGTGGGGTAACCGATAATTTAAACTCTTAGTCATATTTATGAAACTCATATTCAAAGCAGTCTAACTTTAACTGGTCTTAATTAGACTGATAAAGTAAATTTGCTAAACAAGAGACTTTATTGAAGCAGGAGAAGTGAATATGTGGAAATAGCAAATGAATGCCCATTATAGAAACTGCTGTAGATTTTTGTGGGTTAAATTTTCTACAGTGCTATTTAAATATTTAATACCACCTTGAACTCTAGTTAAGATTTTATAACAGAATAATGTATCTGAGAGCCTCAGAACATGTTGGGTGTTTGTAAAACTTTGGGGACTGTAAAACTTCGCTCGGGTTTTTAGGCTGTGCCTTAAGGAAGTTTGAGACTCCAAATGATGGTGAGGTAGTTGTCTGAATTACTGAGGTCAGGGTGTGCACTCTTGGGGATCTTTTCATTTCCCTTAGGTAGTTAAGGTTAAGTTACCCCTTCCAAGAAGACTGTGTGGGACGACATCTGTGGGTATGTCCCTTCTGTGACTCTTAACTATTCTGGGAAGAGATGGATCTGTGTTTGACTGTAAGGCAGAACCTAGAAGAAAGAAATCTGTAAGATATTCTTATAGAGCAATTCTGGGTTTTCCCCAGTCCGTTATCTTCAGAAACTTTCTGATCATCATCTTCCAGAGGCTCTCCGGGCCCATTGTCCCTTCTTTTTCCTCTTCTTCTTTTTTTTTTTTTGTTTTTTAAGATTTTATGTATTTATTCAAGAGAGAGCATGTGCACACTTAGGGGGAGGGAGAGGAACAAGCAGACTCCACACTGAGCACAGAGCCTGACATGGGGGCTGGATCCATGACCCTGAGATCATGACCTGGGTGGAAATCAAGAGTCGGACACTCAACCGACTGAGCCACCCAGGTAACCTACGCCCTCAACCATTGTCCCTTCTATTCTGACTCTGATGTTTGCTTTCGATTTTTCTCAGACTTGTGATACTTCTGCCTTTAAAATCATTAACTAGTCATCTAGTCATAAAAGTCATCTAGTCCTACTGGCTCTCTTTATAGATGAAGAAACTAAAGTTGAAACTAGGAAATGTCTGAAGTCTCACAAGTGCTTCAGCAGAATCTTAATAGAATCTGGATTTGAATTGGTATTTCTGACTTGTGCTCATGCCATCTCCTGAAGGAAATGTCAGAAATGTCTTTCAGACCTGGAGAAATTGGCCAGTATCTGAATTTTTGGAAATGTACTATGTTATGTTGATTTATTAAACTACTTCCTGTATGAATCAGGGCTATCTATTTAAATATCTATGCCTGGATTCTTCCAGTTGACCCTTATTCCAGCTGGCTTTGGATAAGATTTGGGTCCTTCTTTGTCTCTTACTCCCTCCCCTTGTGAAAAAGCCCAGTGAGGGGTGAGTGGAGCTAGCCAGGGATGAGAGCTGTGTCCAAAATGTGGACCTAAGCACTGGCTCCCTTACATTCATTCACAGTGCCATGTGGCCCAGGGCCAGTGTCCAGGGACTGTGCTCAGTCACCTTGAGTTCTGAGAGTGGAGAAAGTTCCAAAATGGACAGGGAAACTTAGGGAAGGTCATAGGACTCTGCAAGAAAGGGAAATAGAAAAGTTTAATTTTAACACAGGCTGGTATGAGACCATCCAAGTAATGCCTTAGGGTTTGAAAGAATGGATCAGGATACTCATGGTATGAATAATTTGTCAGGAAAGTCAGGTTAAATGCTCATGTAAGAGTCTCTGTGATTGTAAAGAAGCAGTTAGCATGTTGTTCTTAGTTGTATGGTCTTCTATTTTAGCATAACAATAACATCAAGATTTAGTTTAAGCTTTGGCAACCACGTAGAACTTGAACTATGGTGCCTGGTTACCCTGCGACCTTGGCGCAACATAGTACCGTGGACAGAGTTGGCCAGTGAATTAGTTGGCACTTTCAAGAGGGAGAGTGGAGACATAATAGAAAATACCATTGTATGCTTAGATGACCAGGTCAGTTTTGTGTGGAACACTGATCGGTTCTCGGTCCGCCCATCTTAAGAAAGAATGTGATCAATACCTCAAGAGCCAGTTTAAATTTCTCCATGAAATTCTTTTGAGCCCACCCTACACTATAGCATTTATTTTTCCTTTGAATGTCTGTAGCACTTAGTATCCGACGTCTGTCAGTTCTGATGGCTTCGTGTTTAACTGTCATCTACGATTTTCAGAGGATGAACCAATCTTTCCCAACTGGGTTATAGGTAAGTTGAGGGCAGCGGTTTTAGATTCATTTCTTTGCCTGATGGCACCTAGCATATGCCTTGCAGATACAGTGGAGTCCTATCATCATACACTCAATTTAACTTGTGAAATCAGCTCTTTCAACTCAGGGTAGAGAGAGCAAGAAATCCCTTGATTTAACCCTTCGCCATTCCCTGCTCAAAGGAGCCCTTGGACTCTGCTGCCCCCAGGGAAAGGGAAGCTATCGGCATCATGCAAATAGACACCCAAGATGATAATTCTTGGTTTTTGAGTTGTCGAGAGGACACCCGTCCCAACTCAGGGATTTTCCTGAGTGATTTTAAGTTATATTTGATTTTCGCCTTAAAGGCTGACTTGAGAGC